TTCTTCTTCCTCTTCTAAGTCCACCATCTCTTCCTCACCCTCTCGCTACCTGACTTCTCAGTATCTGCAGACTACGAGAGAGAGAAAGATTGGCGACTTTGGGCTTTGACGACATTTGGATCCAGACTCGACATTGGGATTCAGACATTTGACGAGGGATTATTTGGGACTGTACCGAAGACCTGGTGTTGACGACATTCCCATCTTCTCCTCTTCTTCATCTAATGCCCCTTTTCTTCGCCTGTGTTTAGTTGGGGACTGACGCATTCTTCCTGTGTGAGCGTCAGGCCCCTTCACACCATGGAATGATGATGATGTATGTTTGGTCTGCATAGCAACATTCATTGTTCGGATCATTGGTATTTAAGCCTTCCGCTGTGTTATCTTGTACTTTGTGAGAGAGGTCGGTTCTTGTTCTGGTCTGTACCGTTACGGTATGCAACAATTAACCTCGTGATCTTGGAGTATGATCCCGACAAGAAGGTAGCAACAAGCATCTAAATCGCTCAAGCCATCGAAAAAAAACAATCAAAGTTCATAACCCTAAACCTTATGAGGACAATTGATCCCCCTTCGTTGCGGGCTAATCAAGCGCAGTCAACAAGGGGGAGGTCATCCATCCTATTCCTACCCGGCTTCAGACAGCAAAAACGAAACATCCTGAAAAAACACCGGGAAGGGAAGGGGCGGACCCGTAGAACTCGCCTTCAACCCTGCGCTCCACCCTGCCTGCCCAAAAAAGCCACCATTTCCCCCCCACTGAAATGATGGTGGTGATGCTGTTGACACCATCTTTGCCACAGTTGCTATAGCGGCCGTTGGCGTTACCCGCGTTGTTGTTGCTTCTTTAGTTTTGTCTGTTGTTGTTGGTGTTGCTGTTATTGCGAACACGCTCGGTGTTGTTGATGTTGCCGTTGTTGATGTTCTTGCTGTGCTTGCCCCTATTTTCCCTGTTGTCATCACTGCCATCGCCATTAGCCCCAACTCTGCCTCCCACTGACCTGTCGTTGCCATTAGCCCCGACTCCTCCCCCCACTCACCTGCCTCGCAGTCGACACCGATCTCTGTTGATGTTGATGTTGTTATTGTTGTTATTGTCGATGTTGTTGTTGTTACCGTTGCTGCATTTGCTTCTGCTTTCGCTGTTGCCGTCGCCGCTGCTGTTGCCGCCGTTGCCAATGACCCCCACTCCACATCCCACTCACCTGCATCATCATTGGCATATTCCCTCTCTCCATCGACGACTGCGGTCTCATCCTCAACCCGATAAGATAGTGCCATCAGGTTAACCCCCCACTCTCCTGCCCCCCCCTGGTGCTCATCGCTCTCATGCACAGCAACATCACAGCATGTCTCACTTTCGGTTTCCCAATTCTCACACACTGCGCAGGTAGTTGTATAATAGTTGACTACGTCATCATCATCCTGCCCACCTTCAGCATCCTCCGCAGGCGAGACGTCATCATCATTGTCAAAGAGCATATCCTCCAATCGAAGCGCTCCATGTTGTAGCTCCGCCTCCATCTCCATCACTCACCCAGCTGCGCCCCTCTTGCTATTCATCGTTTTTCTTCACCGCTGGCGCTACCCCTGCCCGTGCATCACGGACGTCCACGTCACCTACAGCAGATGCCACGTGTCGATCAAGGAGCCATGCGTTTCTACCGGGTGCGTGCACAGGCCTAGCAGCCTGGGAGCTCACCTCCCCAGGCGCTTGTCAAGCCGGGGGAACCGGTCCTACCGGTCCGCCGGCGTCATGGCGCTAGCGCTAGCGCAGCCCCCCTCAGCACTTCCGGTTCCGACTCCACCCTCCGCCCTCACTTCTATTTTGCCGGGCCAGTGCTTGCTCTTTAGTCGTCTACGTTGTCCGGGGGACCTCTCATAGATAACGTCCTCCTCTTCTGTGCTCAGTCATTCATTGACTCGTTTCTGAAGTCTGTCTGTCTTGTCCGAGCCACTGATGACGGTCACTGATGTTGCCTGCGCTGACGAGGGGGAGAAGGTGGAGGAGAAGAGAAGAGGGAGAAGAAATGGGGAGGGGCAGGTGGGATGGGGGAAGGGGTTCTATCAGTGGGCCTGTTTCTAGCCCGCACATAGGATGAAGGAGGGAGGGGATGCTGAGTAGGGGACCGGCGGACCGCATAGTGGGAGAGTGGTTTTACTGCCCATGTATGTTCCTCGCCTCTCCATTTTTTTCCACGGCAACAGCGCTCCCTGAATTTCAGCCACAACCTTTCCCGGGCCCAGCCACACCGTTTCAAACTTTTTGTGGGCCTCCTCAACCATTTGCCTTTTCATGTTTGGTGGGAGGACCAGGTCCTTGACGATGTCTTTGCACCGCAGTTGGTGGTGTTTCCATGCGTCCTCCATTCTTACCACTGGCATAAGGTAATCGGCCATGTGTTCTTTCGCTTGTGGCCATCCGAAGGTATGTTGGTGCCGTTCGGAGGAACAGTGTGCCGTCCATGCCACCATCAGCAGTTCCTATCAGGTGAAGTGGAACAATTTTCTTTCATAGGCGTTTCATTCAGCCGGTATATCCTCTTGTGGTCCCAGGAGAGGCAGTTTGGGTTCCCATGGGAGCTGGGATCCTGTTAGGTGTGTCCAATTTGCGTCCCACAATCTTCATATCTGGGCTGCCATTGGGCAGGCCAGCAGGCAGTGTTCTATGGTGGCCCTGGCTGGTGGGGACGCTCTTCCACAATATTGGCAAATGGGAGACAGCCGTCCCTGCTGCTCCAAACTAGGCGTCTCTCCCATACACACACACACAAAAAAAAAAAATTGTACTCCCGTACAAATCGTTGTACGCGAGTACAAAACTCACATTGTACTCAAACGTACGGGACCCACAATTGTATTTATCGCGGGGTATACGTGGGA